AAAACAGAGAGACAAAGACAGAGACAAATATATGAGGCATAATATATATGAGAGAGAGAGAGAGAGACAAAAAGACAAAGAGTGAGAAACACCAGGCAACACTATTAGCAGTGGCTCCTTGGCTAGTTATTTTTTAGTTGGGGTGTTTGTGTGTGTGCGTGTGTGTGTGTGTGTACAGGTGAGTGTGTTATTAAACTCAAGGACTTCACTCTGAGCTACATCCTTAGCACCCTTTAAATAAATTTTTATTTTGAGACAGGGCCTCGTTAGTTGCTAAATTTCCCTGGCTGGGCTTGAACTTGCAAGTATCCTGCCTCAGCCTCTCAGAGTGCTGGAATTACAGACAGGTGACACAACCCAAATTGGCTAGTTTGAGAATGAGGTAGGAATGATGTGGCAGTGCTGGGAAGAGTGCTAATGGGGCCTTTAATTTTCTGCCATAAAAGCTGTGAGGTTTGGTTTTATCCTACACTAGGCCTGTCAGATATAAAACATACAGCTAGAGAGCCAGTATTCTATGATATCTTGATCTGACAGCAGTGCATTCCTTTACTTCACATTCCCTTATATCCACAAGAAAATATCAGATGACATCCTAGACTAAACCTGGCCATATAAATGAAGTTCATATTCTGTACTTCCTAGTGGCATTCCTAAATGCAGAAGGATTCTGCCGCTGTCGACCCCCACGCATACAGAATCTTGCAGAAATCAATAGGCTGAGATAGTTTCTTTATGTTTAAAGCAGATCTTGATGGCATCTTATTAAAATCCCTTCTTGTATGTCTGCAGCATGTACTGATCACTCAGTGGCATGGCTGACTGTTTACATTCTGTGCCAAATCAGCTGATATGTAATTAACATTATGTCTTGATAGCCTGCTGTTGTTTGCAGCAACTTCAAGTCGTGCTTCTGACACATCGACAACAAGCAGTGAACACTTGATACAGGGCCAAAACAACATAGATGTCTACTTCAGTTTCCAGTGATGTCATGCAGTAAGTGGACTTTATGAGCACAGGGCTGTTTATGCCATCACCCCTGGCCATTTTGTCCAATGTAGTAATACCATTTTCTTCCTCATGAGATTAATGATCCACAGTGATTACTGGTATATCTGTTTGTCTTAAATTGAACTGTAGTTGTGTGTATTAATTTAGTCACAGCTGTATGACAAAGGAATTAAGAGTCTTACAGTCTAATAGAACTGGACTCACTTGATTCTACTGTATGCTAAACTGACCTTGAATAAATTACATCCTTCTGTGCACTAGTTTTCTTTTCTGTATAATGGGGTTGATAATACCTACCCATATAGCTTATTCTGGAGAAGTAATAACACATTAAAAATGTTTTACATAAATGCTTGAAATATAACAATGATTATGGGAAAAGGTAAGTATGTCATGAACTCTTATATTTTTTACAAAATATGCAACATCTGGGGCACAGTTATTTGATAGGTGTTAGCAGAATATAGAAGAAATAATTCCATTTGGTCAAATCAGAGAATTTTAAAGATATTAAAATTTTTTATAGTGAATTACAATATACTATAATATAGTAATTTATACCAATGACAATGTCCTAGTCTAATACTAAAACATTGGAGAAACATTTGAAGTACATCCTTCAATATCACTGTTATTTTCAATTTGACTTAAACCAAAATCTACCTTCATTAAAAAAAAATAAAAGCCTATTAGCAAACATGAGGCTCCATCATTCTAAATATGTTAAGGCCAGAATCTAAACAGGAACCAAAACCAATCTTACTAACCAGTTAAACAAACACCCAATATTTACAATTTTTTCGTTTTTTGGATTCTAATTTAAAAATTGTATTTTTGCCTTTAATTTTAATGCTTTTATGTGTCTTTAAAAGTCTGCACCTCGTGGCTCCTCAAGTGTTCACTTTGAACAATGACTTTGCAGCTGGTCAAACCTGACTCTCAATCAATTTTTATGAGTACAAATTCTTGGGCTGATGGCTGGGTCTCCAGCTACATCACTCATATAATACACTCACAAGTGGTGATGAGATTCACATTATCACCAGAGCACCATTCTGCCGATGGCGGCAGCAGACACAGCAGGGGCATTCTGTCCTCCTTACGACAAATGACTCCTTCACCTTTCAATAATGCAGCCTGCAGGTATGGACGTACAAGCTGAGTGTGGATGGAATGAGAGCTGTCTTTAAAAATACTAATAAAAACTACCCAGCTCTTCCCAATGGGTCATTCTCTTTGAATCTCCATATATATATATATATATATATAT